CGCGCGGCCCCGCCCGGCCCCCAGGGCCGCCCCGACGACTGCCTTAATCCAGTTCCCTCCCGGAACCCAACGGGTCGGAGAGGGCCCGGCACTAGTGGATCCCGCCGCCGGATGGAAGAGGACCCCGTGGGTCTGTGTGACCTCATGCCCATCCGTTCACCTGTCCAGGCTCTGTGCCAGGGTCGGCCCGCGACAGACCCTTGGCCAGGAAGTCAAAGACGGTGATTTGTACAGTAACAACAGGCGCGACAACTAATTCCACTTGGAGGAAGGACATTCCAAGTAGCCTAAATTGCCGTCAAGGGACTGTGATGGAAAGGGGGTGTTTCCAGAGTATGTAGCGGATGAGGCCGGGCCCAGATTAGGATTCTGTGCTCTGGGCCATCAGGACCTCGTCCAGAAATACAAGGCGCTCGGTGTGGGTTGGGAGCACCTGCCACGTACAGTCTGTGCAACTTTGGGGAAGTCACTGTGTCTCTAGGAAACTCCCTTTTATATCTCTGAACCACAGTTTGCCACGAAGCTGTGACAGGAGAAATCACTGGCTCATAATCTATACAGCAAGGTTGTTAGAAAGAGATGTTTTGCTAGGTCGGGTCGTTCTCATTTCCGACTTCGTGGGTTGTCCCTTATGAAGGTGAGCAGGTGTGCACATTGACCACTGACCCTTCTCCTAGCCCTGCCCCCTTCCCGAGTTGTGTTCTTGGGAACGAATCGTAGATGCGGCAGAGAGTGGCACCAGTAAATGGGGCTGACAGGTCCACGACTCAGTTCTCAAGTCAGGAAAGGAATCTGATCTGTGCGTTCAGGTGAAAAGCATGTAAATATTTTCCACATTCCAACAGGACTTTACCCTCCTCTGCGATGTTAGTGCGTGTCCCGTGCGCTGACATCAGCTGCCATAAAAAGATACCTGCCCTGTTTGAACCCCGTGCCCAACCCTGATCCTGCCTCCCTCTCTACACTTCCTTCTGCCCCTACGGCCTTCCCTGGGTGGAGGCTCCTGTCCTCGGCGAAAGGAAGGCTTCTGCGCCCCCTGGTGTTCATACACGGAAACAGTCGGTCACCTGCAAATCCTGCTTCTTTTCAAACTTCTGCTAGTGGGATAGTTGGTCAGGGAAAAGAGAACCTCTTGAGGGAGACCTATGTGACAGATATATGCACATTTTTTACATTAGAATTCTAAAAAGACGGCCCTCCCTCGTGGAGCACGGAGTTAAGCGCAACACTGCGAAGCTAGCCTCAGCCACTGCAGCACAGGTTCAATCGCCCAGGGGGAGGTGACCCACATGACTTAGCAGACCCTTCCCTGTTCGCCCACTGCTCCCCTCAGCAATGTATTTCACTCTGTCTGCCTGTTCTGCTCTCCACTCTCTCTGGTGAAATCGCTCATCCCCTGCACCTCCGGCCTGTCCCCCAGTTCCGGTATGCATAAATAAAATAAATCATTTTTTTTAAAGAAAAAAAAACTCGGAAAAGATCTGTAGATGGGAGACTCGATTCAGCATCATGTCAGACAAAGGGTTAACATCCAAAATATGCAGAAGGAAAAAAAGTCATAAAACTCAACAATAACAAATAACCCAGTTAAGAAATGGATGGAGGTTCTGAATGGCGCTTCTACAGAGGACATACAGATGGCAAATAGGTTTGTGAAAGATGTAATTCATCATTTATTAGAGAAATGCCAAGAGAGCAATACTGAGTTATTATCTCCCATCTCTAAAAGTAGCTATTATCCATAAGGCAAAGGAGCAAGTATCATAGAAGATGTGGATAGAAGAAAACTTACACACTGTTGGAGGGATGGTAAATTGGCGCAGTGATAATGGAAAGCAGGATGGAACCACTTCTGAACATTAAAATAAAAACTCCATAATCTAGCTATTCCAGTTTTGGGTATTCACCAAGAAAATATAAGAACACTACTTTGAAGAGAGATCAAATCCTCACATGTATTGCAACACTACAATAGCCAAGAGCTGGAAACAACCAAAATGTTCACCAACTGACAAATGAATAAAGAAGATGTGGTACATGTAGACTCAGTGGAATACTCTTCAGATAAATCTATTTTAAAAAAGGATGGAATCCTGCCATTTGTAGCAACATGGATGTACATAGAGGAAATTACATTCCATGAAATAAGCCAGAAAGAAGCAGGTGAACACTGTATGAGTTCATTCCTAAAGGGTACATGGAGAACATAAAGAAACAGGTGAACTTAAGAAAGCAAAAATAATGGTAACCAGAAGGAAAGAGGAAAGAAATGAGGTAAATAGGGAAAAAAGGACTAGAGTGAAGGGTAAACCTGGATGTTCAGTTGTGACCTAAACATAGTATTTGTACATAGTGATTCTCAGTGCTGCACAGCTGAAATGCAGATAAACTTGAGACAATGTTACTTCAATTTTCAAAAACTTAAATAAACAATGGAAGGAAGCTTGGAACGCTATTAACAGTCACTTGATGTATTTTGGGGTCCTGATAACTGCCCCAGAATCTAGGTCCTGGGGGCATTTTAATCTTAGGTTTAGAGCTGAGGAACCTGAGATTTGGGGAGCAGCAGAGATACAGGAGGGGTCTGCTGAGGCACCTCCCTGGCTGGGGATGGATCTCAGGCCACAGTGGCTTCGGAGAGCTTCATAGTGCCGCACTTTATGCTTTGCAGCACCAAGGAGGGCAAACCTTCGATTTGGGAGAGAAAAATGACAGTTCAAAGTTAACATAACCAGGAGGAAATAGCAGCATAAAGCCGGCCTCTCATTCCTCATCTGCACGTCCCAAGAGCACAGCCTTCCGCCTCTACCCAGCAGCCCACGGGAGATGCAGGTGCTCAAGGGGACTTGGCCACCAAGAACTGCATCATCGTTCTCTTCATGGCATCCTTCAGCTCTCTGTTCCTCATGCTGTAGATCAAGGGGTTCAGCACGGGGGTGATGAACGTGTACACCACAGACACCACCTGACCTCTGTCTGGAGAGTAGTTGGAGCTGGGACACAGGTAGATGAGGCTTCCGCAGCCATACTGGAGCAGGACCACCGTCAGGTGAGACGAGCAGGTGGAGAAGGCCTTGCGCCTGCCCTCTGCAGAGCGCATCTTCAAGATGGCAGTGACGATGAAGACGTAGGAGAGCGTGATGAGCAGGAAGGGGATGGTGAGGACGATGACGCTGACTACAAACAGAGCAGCCTCGTGCAGGCGGGTGTCCGCGCAGGCCAGCCTCATGACAGGGAGGACGTCACAGTAGAACAGGCTGATTTCTTTGCTGCTGCAGAAGGGGAGTCGGAAGATGAGCACAGTCAGCTGCAAGGCCAAGATAAAGCCCAGCACCAGAGACCCCAGGGACAGCTGGACACATAGCCGCCAGCTCATCATGAGGGTGTAGTGCAGAGGGTGGCAGATGGCCACAAAGCGGTCGTAGGCCATGACGGCCAGCAGGATGCAGTCAGTGCTGCCCAGGAAGATGAAGAAGAACATCTGGGTGCCACAGCCAGGCAGGGAGATGAGGTTTCTCTCCACAGACAGGATACTGGCCAGGGTCAGAGGGGCGATGGTGGAAGAGTAGCAGATCTCCAACACCGCCAGGTTGGCCAGGAAGAAGTACATGGGGGTGTGGAGACAGCGGTTGAACCAGATGATGAGAGAGATGGAGAAGTTGCCGCTGATGCTGAACAGGTACATGATGAGGAAGGTCACAAAAATGAGCATCTGGACCTCAGGGAGTCTGGAGAAGGGGCGGAAGTGGAAGTGAATCGTCCCAGTCTGGTTTGCTTCCTCCATACATTCAGCGCAGCAGGGGCTGCTACAGGCACAGGGGCTGCCCTGAGGAGACAGACCAACATCAGGACACAGAGCTCCTGCTGGGTGACACCTTCAACTCCTCCCTCCCTTCATCTCGGCTCTAGCAAACTTTACCTTCAGCCTACATTCTGCCACTGACACCTACAACAGCATTTTTGCTATCATTCCCCACAAGCAGTTCACCACTGAAATCTATTTCTTCATTGCCTTAAACATACGTGACATAAAATTTCTGATTTTAACTATGTGGAAGTGTTGCCTCTCAAGGCTGCAGTGTTGGAAGTGGTGTGAGATGAGGGCAAGATCCCCCCAGATCCATGGGAAGCCCCGAGGGGTCACACCGGAAGTGACGTGAACCCCAGCCAAAGGAGCCTTGGGTTGACCAGCATTGAGTGCAAAGGTGGCCCAAGCAACTGGAGAGTGTGCACGCCTGGGGAGTGGGATTAGGGGTGTCAGCTGGGGGGTGACCAGGGGCTGTTGCCTGGGGGGCTCCCTTACTCCTGCCAGTCTAAGCAGATTATCTCCACTCTGCTATCTGCCTGCTGGTTTCAGCAGATACTGGTTTCCCAGGGCGCTCCTCATGGCAGGACTTTTGCCCTGGTGAGAGGCCCCTGCCTGACCCTACACCTAGCTGATAAGCGGGAACTCTGGGCACCAAGACAACAATCCAGAGAACAAGGGGGACTGGGATCACACACACACACACACACACATACACACACGCACCATCCACTCTCCATCCACTCTGGTCTGCTCTAAGGGAAGCTGATCACTAAATCTGTGCCTGGTCCCTTCACACTGGCTGCTGATTGGGTTTATCCAATGAGATGCACTTGCAGGAGAGTGAAGAGCGGCAGGAGAGAAGTGGCACCTGCCACATACCTGCCCCCACCACAGCCCTGTGGGGGGCCCTCACCCCCCTACCCTGGGAGGCCTGTCTTCCATGCTACAGGTTTTGCTGGGCCCAAGTTCCTCACCCTGTCGCATCGGGCCCAAGCTGGGAAAGAGCTTCCCTCCACCACTAGCCCTGGAGCGCTACCTGGATTCCTTGGACTCATCACTCTCCTCTGAAAATGCTGCTACCACTAATGACCATGTCCTGCCCACAATGACTGGCAGAGAGAAGGTTCAGTGATGATTGTTGACTGCCTAAGCAAGAGCATCATTTATTTGTATTTATCTTAGGATCTCTTTATCCCGTTGTATTTGTTCCCACAGCTCATTACATGGCATTGATGATGGCACATAGGTGATTTGGTGATGGGAAGCCCAAGGGGGTTGCAAATGAGATGAGAAAATGCACAAAACGATGTAAAAATAAACTATTGTGTGTGTGTGTATATATATATATATACATATACATATACATATATATATATACACATATACATATATAATTTACATGGCATTGAAAACAATTGAACCCACAGACACCAGAGAGAATCTCTCAGATTCTGGAGAGTCACAATCACCTAATTTCCTATTACTAAGTCAGAGTGTCCTACTCTGCTTTGGAACCAGCACTGTTAGCCAACCACGTAAGAGATAGCTCCTTCTTTCTGCTTACACCTGCACCTAAGCACAGGATGGGGGCCATGATGACTGGTGGTACCCACAAAGGAAAAGCCTAGAAAGCTGCAGAAAGGCTGAACATGAGCCTCAGACCGCGGAGCTGCTGAATGAACCCACCTTGACTCCTTCTGCCTCTAGACTCTCTCAAGGCAAATGAACCCTATTGTGTAAGCAACTGGAAAAACATACTCACGCTCACACAAACTATATCCCACCTGCAAGTGCACACTTGCCACCATCACCTATGCCTCTCCCACAGACACAGGAAGTGACATTTGACCTGGCTTTCAATGACTAGACACTTCATATGCCACAGTCAGGGGGAATTTGCACCCTGCCGTAAACAAGAGCTAACGGGATCGCCCTGTCTGGGCTGGGAGCCTCAGAAGGATGCCCGTCTGCTCACCTTGGTTGTGCTGATTCTGAAGATACGTTATGACCTTGTGAATATCACAGGATATTTTTGTTTCCTACCATGAAAAGTATTCTTGATGATTTGCAGTTTCGTGCTTTGAATATTGTGCTTTTGTGTCTGGCAAATCAGTCCCTTTCAAGGTCTGAGTCCCTGCCTGCTTTGGGTATAGTTTTTCCTCTCCTGTCTGTGGATTCTGCCTCTTTGCTGTCAGCCCACTGGTGCAGCCATGTGCCCGGCGGGAGGGTGAAGATGGGTGACATCGTGCTAAGAAATGTTTGTGTGCAATTTTCTAAGAATACTGTTCTGTGGGCACCCTCCCTGATGGCACAACGGGTTAAAGCATAGCACAATGAAGCTAGCTGCAGCCACTCCATGAGTTCAATCCCCAGCCAGGGAGGTGACCCACAGGGCTCAGCAGACCCCTCCTATCTCCCTACTGCTCCCCTCAGCAGTGTGTTTCTTCTGCTCCCCACTCTGTCTTTGGTGACTCCTCTCACCGCGCCTACACCTGTGGCCTGTACCCCAGTTCTGTGTGCATAAATAAATAAATCTTAGAAAAAAAAAGAAATGTTGAACAAATGGTGACATTGCAGTAATGAGTAAAACTCATGTGATTGTTACATTACCATTAAAATTATTATCACGGAGACATTTAATAAAGTGAGAAAGTGCTTATATATTGTTAAACAAAGGTGAAAGAGCCAGGGGAGCTTGACACCAGCGAGCAATACAAAGGCAAACAACCAACAAATTAATGGTGTTCTGAAGAGAAATGGGGGCTGGAGGGTGGGGGGAGGGGCGACTCTTTCCTTCATGCTTTTCTCCATTTTTCAAAATTTCTGTAAAATGCATGTGCTTCTATTTGCATCAGATTCTATTACTGCTCTTTAAGAATGCCCTTTGAGAGGCAAGGAAACTGAAGTCACATAACTACCCCTCATTGTGCCACTGATTATTATCAGAGCCTGGATAACATCTACAGGACCTCAAAAAACGCACTTGCCGGGATGCGCCCACCACTGTGCTGAGGCGAGGTATAAACTACGTGAAAGTTGATCGCCAAACACCTCTGTCCCTTGAGTTGCACTGAGTCGGGCGCCCTCGCCCTTCCTGGCTTCCTGACTCTCCTTCCTCCCTTTATACACCCTGTTTCCCTCCTTCCTCCCTCTTCTCCTGCCCTCCCTACTGGCTCTCCCTGTCCTTTTCTTTCTTCCTCTTTCCTTTGCCTCTCTCTCTTCCCCTGTGCCCTCATCCTCGCTTGAAGTCAACCCTTTAGGTTTAACTCACCGTGTAGCCCATGGAGACAGTGTGGAGAATTACAATTTGCCGACACATGATCAATTTTCCCTGTCATCGACACATTTAATGAACACGCAATCCCAGAACTACAGTGTGCTAGACCATAGTGAGGACACCACCCCCGGCATCCTTCAAATATTTTGTAGAACATCATTCCATTTTCAAACAAGCTTGGAAATAAAAGACTGTACAATGTGTCTGGAACACATTAAAATTACACTTGCCTGTTTAATGATATTACAACATGCCTCAGATCAAGATTCATTTGAGTTCCCCACACCCTCACCCAGACACCAGGTAATCCTATTTGACCATGGGAGTTAAAAATTCATGTTTCCC